CCAAAAAAAAAAAAAAAAAGATAGAAAAAAAAAAGAAATAAATTCTGCTCTGGATTCTCCATACCTTTCACCCTCAGATACATCAGAGCACTTCCTAGATTACTGACACAAACCATTTGCTATTATGCCTAAGGAGTACCTAATAGATGTAACAGGGGTTCCATGCATCACTGCAGCTGTATTACTAACCCTGTAGTACAGAGCAGGGTTTTCCTGAGGTCAACTATGCATAGCTGAGGTACAATGACTCTGCTGTAAGGATGATACTCACTTCCAAAATTGGGATATTTTGTACAAAAATACATAAATTTGCATTGTGATTCAAAACATCATATTAAACAATTACTCATGTGTTTACACTGATAATTACTATTTTCAAATATGTCAGTGAAGAATCCACCTGTGATATAGAAAAGAACTGTAAGTTGTGTGTGCAGATATACCTGGGCCTGCACTATTACTGTTTAATCTGTGATTGGTGATCTCCTCCTACAGCGTTTCAAGGGAAGGGAAACTAAATCCAAGTGGAGACACTGAAACACAGTGCCACATCCAAAAGGTAAAATTAAATCAGCAGAGTAAATGGACTAAGTAAGGGCACGTGCTCCCTATTCAGTTACCAAGATTGACACTCAGTTCTGTGATGTTTTGTCTAGTTCTGAATGACCACTAGGGAAATTCTAGACAAACCAAAGATAAGACATAATGTGTGAAAATATCTCTGAACTCTCAGAATCCCAAAGATGGTGGCACAGTAAGCATAGTGGTTGGAGTCCCTAAATCTTGCACTGCACAGCTACTGCATAGATGTTTTCCCTAAGGCCACTCACAACCAAAAGAACAGGAATACATAACCAGGGACTCAAATATGAGATTTCCAGAGATGCAGAAGTAGATGGTCCTCCAACCAGATCAGCCAGGACTCAGAGACTGTCCTCCATTGGGAGGAATCTCTAATGATGGCCATGTTTCCAACTAAACAGTGCAAAGTAATGGGAGGAAGTCACAGCCTAGAGGATGAACAAAGGAGAGGAAGCCATCCTCATGTTCATTGCTATGTCTAGATGGCAGGATCCACATCATTCCTGATTTGTCTGGGAGTTGATTAAGAAGGTAGAGAATCAAGAAAGTATCCCTGAGGTCTGTAACTCTAGTTCTTCTAGTCAACAGCAGGTAAATCACCCTGTCTGGGAGGGACAATTGACCTATGTTCCTCTCACTTTTATATGCTCTGACAACTCTACCATAAATAATTATACCAAGTTTTCAGACTGAAAGCTGAGCCCTGGCTGAGGTGCCCTCCTCTCCTTTACACAAGAATCTCCATCAAATATGTGTGTCCTAGAACTGCTTTTCTGCCTGGTGACTGTTCCCTACTATGAGTGTCACAGCACATAAGGAAAAAAACTGGGCATGTGGTCCATAGTTTGCGTTTATGATTGATGGTGGTGTTCACTATTCCCAGGTACACTGTCCTAGGTGTAGCTGCAGGAATCAGGTTTGTCCTCATAAAATCTTTGCAGACCCTGTCACTGGTCTCTACTGTCTGGATTCTATGGAAACAACTATCATACTCACTGGGACAACACATTCACAGCATCCAAGAAATCCTTAGAGTATGCTGGCACCATACCATGGAGTACTGGAGACACAGTTTGTAATTGGGGTTTCACCTCCAGGATCTGTATCAGTTGGCATACAATCAATAAACAAGTTTCCTTAAATCTGCACTGTCTGCAATGTCTCACTGTACCAGAGACATGGGAGGAGACTTCAGTGTGAACTCAGACACAAATCTCCCTACAGAGGAGCTTGGGGGCAACAGTGGCACTTAACAACTGCTGAAGCTACTCAGAACTACTAGATGCCCCTTACATCATAGGTAGTTCTGAACTTCCACCATGGGCTTCCTCATGAACAAGCATATACATGAATTCTAATTGGTGTTAATCATAAAAATCCAGAGTCAGATAGAGTGGTAAATGCTGAAAGATCAGAGACACAAAGGAGCAACCAGTCATGGTCTACTCTTACCTCACCAACTCCTCAGCCAAAAGAGAGAAGGCTTGAGGCTCTGCCCACCTTATATTCCTCTTTTTGCCCAGCCATATCACTATCTGATTCTTTCTTCCATGGGCTGGGATTAAAGGTATGTGCCACCACGGCCAGGCCTCTATGGTTAACTAGTGGCTAGCTCTGCCCTCTGATCTACAGGTAAGCTTTATTTGTTAGAGCACAAAGTATCACCACAAAAAGCATATGTCTGTTTACATTTTAGAATATGAGGTTCCCCTTCCTGTTCATAAAAATCTTCTAGAGACCCTTTAATATGTCAGAGTCTATGACAATTGCTATTGGCTTAATTTCTAATAAGCATATCATTATTTTGCCATGGTGCACTTCAGATATCCAGTTGCAACACACTATGGGATTTAATAAACATAAAAATAAAACTTTCCATGTTTTTGAAAAGGTCTGTAGTTTTAAGACTTGGTGATGATAGGTTCATTTGGAAATCACAGGAAAATGTAAACAAATCAAAAAACTTTCAATTTATTTCCTCTCCTAGGGAATAATACACAGATCTTCCATGAATGAATATTATTACCCCAGGTAGAGGGGGGAGATATCTACTCTTAGAGCTTTCAATATGTTAATGCTCTAATAGGATAAAGGTAATTAACATTTTTTCACACAATGCTTATAAGAAACTTGCATCCTTGTAAAGATTACTTTCTGCCCATTGTTCCATGTAATGATTTTTTTGAAGATGGTTCTTATCCCTTCAGCTTGTGGATAAGTCTGAGTGACCATTGTGCAAATGTCAGCTGATGTCATCTATGGTCTCTGTTCTAACTCTTCCCTTGGCAACAGAGTTCTTTATCATAGTTTGCAGCTTCTTTCTGCTGTTTTCTTGTTAACATTGACCCCATGATTACTACGATGGAAGGACACTATTTTTCTGCTGAAGGCAGTAAAGCTGGAATGTTTAACCTGAAAGTTAGAGAAGCATCATTGAGAGAGGTGATGTTTGATGTTGGCTCAGTTGTGCTACAGATTTTAGGTATCTTTAAAAGGAAAAGAGATTCTACCAATCTAGACCTGAGCCATCCCTGGATACTATTATAGTGATGTCAGCTATGAGGCAAGATATATTGGGGAACAAACAGACTACAGAATATGGGATTACTGCCACCTAGACCAACACAACACATTGAAAAACACAGTGTGAAGGTGAAAACCAAGGGATCCACACTCTGCTAAGTAATGCCAAGGTAAAGGTCAGCCCACATAGATTCCAGTGACATATGATGACTACAGTGAACCTGCACAGTTGGCACACTCTGAACACCAGGAATCTCTGGATTAGCTTCTCAAACATTTCCCAGCTATAGAGAAGAAAATAAATAAGTGTATGAGCAATATTTAATGAATGAGAAATTAGCTTTTTTTCTGCTAGGATTTGGGCAACTGATTCTTCAACAATGAAATGAGTCCAATTAATAAAAACCTTTTAAAACCAGCACTTACTTACCAAGTCAGGATTTCCTGATTATGGTCACGGGAAGACTGAAGCTGTAACAAGCTAATTATGAGCTATCTGACGTTACATACTATTATTAGCATGATAAGTGTGTAAAAGGTTTAAGTAACTTCAGTGTAAGTCATGACATACCAACCTTCAGAGGAGCTCAGGACCAACATGGGGCACAGTGGAGCCAATAACCAACATGGTAGAAATGACATGAGGAGTGGAGGGGACTCTGTACCCATGTGAACTCCTTTCCTAAAGTCTGTTAGCTGAACAATACCTTCTGCAGTTGATATGTGAAGTCTCCATGGTCAAACAGAGTAAAAATTCTTTGTTAAATCTTGAACAGACATTTATTTTTTCATTTATTTTGTTAATGTTTATTTATTTTTCATTTTTATATAGTCTAATTACATTTTCCATGCACAACTCCTCTCTAATCCTTCCCACATGCTTATCACTCAACAATACAACCTTTCTTTCTCTCTATAGAAAACAAACAATTACACAAAAAAGAAAAGGATTTTTTAAAAATAATTAAAAACACCAGGAACATACACCTGTGTACTGCTGGAAATGCAAATATTAATTGCTTCTACATGAAAAAAGATTAGAAGTTCTCCTAATTTAGGTGTTTTTGAAATTTTCATTCACTATTGTCCTCATCCCTACCACCACCTGTAAATCTTTGCCAGAAAAAAGGCCTAGTATGTCCTATTGGGATTCTATTTACCTTGATGTTAAACCCACAGAGTCTGCACAGGTCTCAGGGATGGCTGCTTCATCAGACAAGGTTAGGAGGATCTGGTCCTCAGCATCCTGCAGCCTGCCCTAGGTTTCATCTCCCTCCTTCTTCTCCAGCTGGACTAGGTCCTTATCTAAGAAGTGTCCTGCCTCATGAATGTGCAAATCATGTGAGTCTACAGTGGTAAAACAGGGATGTCCACA